AAATAAGTGATAAAACAAAAATTCCGGCTGAGAAGACCGGTTCTAATAATAATTGAAAATGACAAATGGTTGACCGGTAATATTATCAGTTCCTCTCGAGCTCCGTCAAACTCAATTGTGTATACATGCTCCGAATAATAATTAGAATAGGTAACAAGCATATATATGGCCACATATTTCAGTTTAATGACAAATAATGCGAGTTATAAATTAGGGGCAAAAATGATATATTAAACAATTGATGTGTACTGTAATTAATCAATTATTTGCTATACTTAATTTGTGTATTAATAGTGGCAAATATAATTAAACAATTTTTTTCAGGGACTATAAAAGGAGAGATAAAGACTGGATTAAAGAAGAGAGAAATAGGTTCTACACGTATGAGGAGAGGGACTGAATTAGATGGAATTTATTACATTAAAGGACAGATAAGGATGGTATGTTGGGAAGGAAGAGGTACTACTAGGTTGAATAAAAATTATATTTATTAATTATGAAGTTAAAATGGTAAAAAAGGAAGTGTTGGTTGTTGTAGAAAAGAGGACATGATTGTACATAGGGGAGGGAAGATTGCAGATAAAGCTGTATGAGGATGGCAAGTTGAATGGAAAGCAAAGGAATTGTGTTTTAAGGAAGAGAAGAGTAGGGATAAATTATAGGGTGGAGGGAGATAAGTTAAATAGAACACTATTCATTAGGTGCATCCTATTTATAATAATTCATATTCTTGAAGATCATTATATCTAATTTATGACTGATGTATGAATATTGTTGATATCGTTAAAATCATTTCAATTATAATTATTTTTACCATTTGTCCTTGATATAATATTTTGAATTTCGTTAAGGTTGCCAGAAAATGCATTGAATAGGCAACAATTATTTTACATATTTGTCATGTTTAATTTATTTTTTTAAATCATATATTATTCAGAACATAATCTAGAAACCTGGAACTTCTTGCTTTGGTAGGTTTTCATATCGTTGTCAGAAACTAGATTTTAAACTGCTCTGCAATGCTGGTTGTCGGTGTTATTTGTGTAGAGAGAAAACTTCATTGTACTGTACCATGCAGGTAATGAGATCTGCAATTCTTGTGCCAGTTAATTTAATTAAACAGCCGTAATGTGGTTTAGAAAGCCTGCTGAAAATACATGTTCTGTGTACAAGACTACTCAATTCAATTGTGGAGGGGTGGACGAGACAGGAGGAATGGAAGGAACGTGCATGTTACAGTGCCATGAATTTAGGTTTATTAGTGAATATCTTAACTAGGGCAGTGAACGTGGCAAATGATGGTTTTAATTGTTGTCTTGCGATCTGAGAGAAATAACGAAACTTTATCGAAAAATAATGGCTTATACAGTACATTCTAAAAAAAGTAGTATTTAGTAGGAAATTATAGTTATTAATAATTTGAAGAAATAATTACACAAATCAATTGTGATGTTGGTAATTAGCAATTAGTTGGTTTATCCAGGTTAAGTAATTCACAAAGTAGACATCAAAATATCAGGGTCATAGCGAACATTTCTTACCTCACAAGATTGCTTTCCTTTTATAAGCCTATCTTAAATGTATAATATTAAACATTTCCACTAAAGGTAACAAAAAATAATTGAGAAATTAATAAATTAAATAAGTAATTTAACCAAATCTAGGGATTACTTATGTTTTGATTGCTAATCCTATTATTTTTCATTAACAAATGTCATTATTAATGATAAATTATGATGTGTTTATACATGTTTATGAAAAAATTATGAAATTATCAATAATTCCATCAAAGAGGAAATATTGTAATATAGACAATCACCAAGATATGATAAATGGTACATATGGGTAAAATATTGATTTCCGCATTTATGTTATTGATTTATCAAGATGATAAAGCATTTGATGATGGTACATAACAAACGAATACAACGGTAGAAATACCGCTGTCTGCGAAACTGAAAGTACTGTAATGCCACAAATAATAATTACTATTTAAAGACTGGGTTTAAATTATGCACGAACTTCACACTGCCTTGCAAGAGACAGGTCGCCACATGCTACATGACCGCTTACAGCTAATTATACTCAAAACTGATATTATAAAAAGGAGATGGATAATACAAAAAATGAATAAATTATTGCTAAAGTTGTGTCTGGAGTGTGCCATTAGGTAAAATTGACGGTGATTATTGGGGTTTCTTACAGTCCTAGGAAATATGTCATAAATAACATATTTTTGTCTAGTCAATATCTGACAGTTTATATAAGAGTGACATAAGGTGGCCTGCTATCTACTGTAAGAGCTTTCCAAGATAATGCTAAGCAACTCTAAAATAGTTTCTACGATACACATTTAGTCTAAAATTAAAGTCTTTCAAACCTACAGAAAACTAGGCCTAAGCTTACCTTAGGGCTGGGGCACTAAATTTCAGCTTATTGTACCTGAGGCCTACATTTTTACCTGGTCTACAGTTAGGCCTATGCATACAGTAGTGATGATGAAGACAACTTTGTGCAGAAGTAAATGGACTTTGGTGTGAGAGGGATGGACTTTGAAACATAAAAATGTAAATCTTGCTTGCATTCTTTAAGGTGAAAAAGATTAAACTAACTGCCTCATCCTTCAGATGGGACATTAAGAAATGTACTTAGTACTGTACACTATTCAAAGAGTAGTAAATTGTACTATGAATTGACTCAATTGTAGACTGGACTAGAGTATGGCCTGGGCAGGCTCCCAGGGAAATAATCAAAATTTTCCTTGACTTCAACAATGATCAAAATAATTTTTACTTTTTTTACAGGTAACTACGATTAGATGGATGTGTCATAATGACAAATGTTAGAAAAATATTGCAAGATTTTTTTTTGTAACTGAAAATATGAGAAATGTAAAAATAAAACAGCGATGCATAGATTTATGCCAGAGTGAAGAGACATTTGTCTCTTGGATGGATGATGTATTAACAATAAATTCTAAAAAGGCATTCAAATAATATGGACCCAAGAAACGATTCTCAAGCAGGTGATGGAGGAAATATAACAGGCCAGATATATATATCAGCAATTAGTTTTATTTTAATTATTCATTCAGTATAAAAATAAAATACATCTAAATAATCTCACAACCATGTCTGGGAGATGCAAAAGCAGGAACCCCAGTCGCTAGAAGGATGTACTTCCCCTTTCTAAAAATAAAAATTTATGAATTGACGACCCCCCCCCCCCAATTGCTATAAAATTATATTAAGTACCGGTATTGTATAAATTAATATTTTTTTCTCTTCCTATTTATTGGTCTTCAAGCGAAGTGGATTCCTTACAGACTGGTCCGAATCAAATATGTTGCAATATTTGACTGCTTCTGATAGTAGCACGAAAACAAGGGGAAAAAAATGAAGGAAATGATTGATAAAAGAAATGGAAATACAGAAATATGTAAAACTTAAATTTGTCTCAGCAGAGAGGCTTAATTCTTAACAAATTACAGAACTATTACAAGAGGAATGTTTCACTTAGGAATAATAAATTCCTCGTCAAATCTAGAGAAATGGAACTCAGTTTAGCTATACTTGATGAAATTAATGATTAAGTCAATAACATACAGTGGCATACTGTATGTAAGCCCTTAAAATTCTAAATTGCAAATTTTGTACTCTATATAAAATGAAAATCAATGAAAAGGGGTATTTTCTGAGTGTTTTCTAAGTAAGAACCTCACAAACATTTTAATTGCATTTATATAATTATTGAAATTATTATCATTATATTTTTGTTATATTGTAATTATGTCATAATCATGAAATATGTAATTACTATTATTATTACTATTACATTAAAAATTACAATTAAAATTATGTAGTGTCTAACACTATATTTTGTGCATTTTCTCTCCCAAGGAATCTGGTAGGTATTATAAACTGGAAATTATAAAATGAGGCCAAAGTAAACCTTAAAATTAATTATGAAAATTATTATTCATATCAATGATTAATTAATTCTTAAAACGTTTTTATATTTGAAATCAACTCATGCAATTAATTTATGAACTAACTTTCATGAATATAATTTCTAATAGAAAATACATTTATATGAATACAATAGTTTGATTTTAACAATAATTAATATGAATAAAATTAAACAATTAATGAAAAGTTAATTTATATTATACATATTCACAATAAATACGAAAGTATAAAATAATAATAATTATTAATAATACACAAATATATAGTTGTCAAAATCTTACTGTTCATATCATTAATTTATATTGTTTGGTGCAATGTATTTTACTAACAGAAATGTGACTTTGTAATTCATGAACATAATAAACTTTGTTATAGTTTTTGAAAAACAGTAGACACAACGAATGGAAGGATTTTTTGAGAAACAACCTTAACCACAAGTATAGTATGTTAAATCGTCTATAGTATTATCAAAGTGCTAGATTTAATTGGAAAATGTGAAAATACTTAAAAATCATTGAAAAAAATATCTTTTAATGAAGTGAGCAGAGAGTTACTTTACTGCATTAAAACAAAATGAAAATCTGAAGAAAAACCCAGAAAAACAAATACAGTGAGTTACAAAGCAGAGGTTATAGGCTGAGAGGTTAAAGAGAGAGTGAGAGTGTTACTGTAATAAGTAAAGTGCAATTAGCTAAAGACAGTTAAAAAACAAAGAGCATCATAATTCAAGAAACATTTATCTAAGGTGAACGACAATTTTAATGAAAAGTGTGAGATGATCATCAGAATTTCACTTGTTTTATGACTCATGTTTTCATGTTAAGAAAAGTGTATTGAAGTGAAGAGCCTAAGTAATGAAGTACATAGGCCTATCACTTATTCTTGGTCTTTCCCAAAGAAGCTTAAAATAAGCTCAGAAAGAGAATGTGTCATTGAATGCAAGCTTTTGCCCGCGAATTAAGCCTAAGCAGGCAAGAGAGGCTAGCTTTACAAGGCAGGCAAATAAAAAGGCTATGTAATACAATTACTCACCAGTCCTGTCCTTTGATACCAGCTCTGAAAACAGAGAGGGGAAGAATGTAGCTTGTTTACACGTGTTTTCTATAAAGCTCAAAACAAATTACTGGTAAAGTCTCTTACTACAAGAACTAATTTATGTACACTGAATGAAAATTCCAGAAAATGATGTGAAAGACCAGTTAATCATATTGAATTCTCAATAGAATTGAAGAAATGTATGCATTGGTAAATAAAAGAGAAACAAGCAAATCACCTCAAAAAATATATTTTCATCATCATCAGATACAATAATTTTGCAAATTTTGTACAAAATGTATCAGATAATTGGAACATGATAAATATACTTTTTTATAGTACCACTTTGGGTAACATATAATTTATATAAGCTTGGGTTAATTTTGTTCAATGGACATATTAACAGCTATCACCTGCATCCCCTTCGTGGTAGAAGTGACTGCGGAATTCGCTAGTAATTGTATTACAGAATTTCATTCCAAAATAGCTTTAAGAAGTATAACTCAATTATTTCAGAAATGCCTGATTAACATACAAAAATATTATTATTAGTACAACATCAATTCAATGCACATAAAATCTTGTAGCAGCAGAACAAAAAAATTACAATATAACAGATTATGGTTTAAGCAACCAAAGGTTACTACACTTACTTTCATTAAAAAGACGGCAAAAAATATTCAAGGTACATTATAATAAGCAGAGACTTTGGTTATTTTTTTTTTTTTTACAAACATGTCCATTCAATCCAAAGGGTACCAAATGTGACATAATAAGATTAGGAGGAGTGTTGGAGGTGTCACATACAACCCTATTCACCTACCCTTGTCAGCCAAAACACACTTTTTTAACAATGGACTGTTATAGACATTGGTTCTTAGTACCTCCCAACATTTCAGTTAGCGTCCGAACCAAATAAAATCTTATCTCAAAAATATCTTCATTTAACCAGAATAATTATCCTTATAAGGTTTTAAATACTTAATAACACTATACCAAAAAAAATATGTACTGTTTTTTCTTCTTTGTAGGAAAAAAAAACAGATCAATCATAAATTAAAATATCCAGACATTAAATAAAATACAATCTATTTTATAAATAGTATTCACTTAATATTTTTGTATATCTGTGTTTTTAATAATGTGTTTTTAATTATATAATAATAATAATATTATTATTATTATTATATAATACTTATATCATTGTTGATAATGGTAAAGATGGATCTTATAGGTTTGCAGTTTACATATTTATACTGACATTTCAACCCTTCACTTGACTGCAGTTTACTGTTAGTCTTTAAATGTCTTAATCTTTACCCAACTTCTGCTACCATTATTGATTTTCAAGAGTAATTCCAACACACAGAGAAAGAAAATCAATTTCTAACTATACAAAGAATAGGAGCCTCAGACACAGTAACAGATGCTTAACCTCCTCCCCAACTAGGACTTCTTAATGTTCAAAAAAAAATTGCGGCCTGCTCGTCCACAATCTTACGACAAGCAGGCAAATACTTCAAATTTTGAATTATTACCGATATTAATGTTTGATGGTGTAAAAATCTATGAATAAATATGGGAAGGACTGAAACTCCCTGAGTTAAAAAACAATTTATTTTCAACTGTACAGCGTTTGACTTTAATTTTATGAAAAGACATTTCCTATTTTAATTGAATGTTACACTTTCTTACTGGAAATCCATGTTCATATTTTGTTTGAATGAAGCAGGGGAGAGAGTAGGTAGGCCTATATTAAAAGGGTATTATAGACAAGTCTGAACAAAAATATTATAAAGAATATCATTAATTGGATAAGTTCAACAACAATCTTTGATTAATATACAATTTGTTTTCGGACCACTTGTACAGTAGTACTGTACTTGTATGATAAATTATATAATAATTATTTAAGTGAAGGCAATAAAGATAACATATCCATTACAAATATTGAGCTTCTAAATTCCAATATTTAAATCAATAGAGATTAATGACTAACCAATTTATCAATGTTGGAGTGACAAAAAAAAAAGATAAACAATAACTTGGGAGATAATACTTCATTTGTTATGATTGCAGCTTTTAATTTAAGGTCATCCTTGAGCGTTCAAATTAAAATGTAATTTAATATATATTTTACCTTAGAATTTTGAAGTATGCTCAGTAAACTTGTTTTGATAAAAAGGGTTAGATGGTGGAAAACAATATTTATTTTAAAAATTGTTCTTTACCTGCTAATCGTAGAGCCGACATTCGTTGGAACTCTGGTTCTTGCAACCATTTCGACATCCTCCTGAAAGTCTCCCTTCCTGACTTCAACTTACTCCATGGCTTGGGGTTCCGTAACAAGTCCGACAATGTTCCTTGACTCCGACACAACACACGTTGAGCAAAAACTGCTTGAGGTATGCTGTATCTCTTTAGTTCACTTGTAACCCTCTGCGCAATATCTTTTGTGTTGATCTCCTCTCCATCGCTCCCCGTACTCGACCGTGATCCAGTGTTTCTTTCACGCGAACTAACCGACAAACTGGGCGGTGTGGCTCCGGGGTGGTGTAACCCGTTTATGACCATGGGATTTTGGAGGGATGGTCGTTGCGATTGAGGTTGTATGTTACGCACCGAATGATTACCAGTATATTGTTCATACCCGTTTACACTGTACCGTGTATCTTGCGGGGAGCAGTATGTCCCCATTTGTGTATAACCATTTAACATAGAATTCGATGCCATTCCTCCACTCATACTCATAGGCATTCCCATGTTCATGGCTCCGAGTTTGTCATACTGATGGTAATTGTTCATTTGTAAATTGCTTGAATGGTTCAGCATGAAACCGCTGCCAATGTTGCTTGGTTCGTGCCTAAATTTATCAGATACCGTCGATATTGGTGGCAACGGTTGCAGAGGTGTTAACGTTGTATAACTTGATGCACTTGACATAGGTTGAAAAGACGCAAGGGAAGTCATACCGTAATCGGAGCGAAAATCTGCCGGTGGTTCTAACATGGTGCTAAATGATGACAGTGCAGGGTAAGAACCAATTGGAGTTTTGATATCAGAATTAGTGAGAAAGATGTCCGAAGAAAGGTGGCCGGATACGTGATCAGGATGCAAGGCCGAAGACGGTTCACTAATCGAATCGAGAGTTACGAGATCGCTCGAGATCATCAGGCCTACCGTACAGTGCGACTCTGTTACCAAGGAGTAAACAAGCGAACGATCTTCGGGAATGATAAAGCGGCTGATTTCAGGTCACCGCGCGCTCTCTGTAGCCTACAGCATAGCTTTTTGTACTTACAGTGGGAGAAGTGTGTGTGTCTTGCGTTTTTTCCAAAGGCTCTCTTCCATGTTATTTAGTCAGCTGCCCCAGTCCCACCAAGCCCGCCGCGTTGTAGTGGCATGCGCATTACCAATTATCGGTCAGTGCGCAGTCTCAAAACCTGTCAATTTTCATAATAAAAGACGCTACTGGTATTACGCATACTGAACCGCCCAATCAGCGTCGAGCTTCAACTCGGTTTTCGGTTCCTGCTAAGGCCTGCAGAGATGCGTTTATGAATGAGAGAGCTAAAATGAAAACAACTCAGTCGTGAAAGCGTTTCATGGTTGAGAGCAATTCATCAAATTTGAATATCCTTTTCTGATTGAGACTTGATTACTAAAACGAAACTGCTATATTTGTTTTCTTGTAATTTAAACTAAACCTTGTAGACTCCCTCCGCAGTGGTAACGGTTGACAATAGCCCTCGATTAACAAAAACATATGCGTCTATCTTCAAATTTGTCTATTAACATCGTTAACCATATAAACAATATATTCATCGTAAGCGAATCATTGCACTATTGTTTATCCCTCCTGCTTAATATTCTAGTTTTTTTCAAAAGCTTTAATATCAATTGCAATATGCGTACGAAAGCAAACGTTGTTGCTAACGTTCATTTTATCACAAAAGGTTTACAATTCTATGATTAGTAGATCTGGTGGTTTTAATAAAAGACATTTCACAAGACAGCCGACAGGAATTTTGTATATTATTTCAAAATCGAAATGCTTCATAACAGACGATATCGACAAACAACAAATTTAATTCAATTTGAAATCGATTTTCTATAAAATCGAAACTAATATGTAAGAATACGAGGATCTCAGTGTGACAGACATCAAGTGTTCGTATTTTTAATTTATTCCTATTTCTCGCAACATTAGACAAAAAGTAGTGGTGTTTTCCCCCTTTTACAACGCATCAACCAATTATGCGATATGGAGTGACGATGTTATTAGTCCCCTTATGAGAGTGGGCTTGCTTTACAATGTTTTTTTTTTTTTTTTTTTTTTTTTTTTTGGGTTAACATTTTTTTTTTTTTTTTTTTTTTTTTGAGGATTCGGACTCGGATCTTCCAGATCAGAATTTGAAGTTAAACATCATAACCACCAAGCTATACAGCTTCACTCCGCAGCCAGGCTCCGGAGGTAACATTTTGTATACGTTGTACAGCTTATTTTTCGAAACCACAAAAACCATATTTGACGAAATATTCGAGAACTTTAAAAAAGATAAACATTTTAAATGTTTAAAAACTGGAGAAAAGGGGGAAATAACTACCTATTTCCACCTTTTTGCCCAGTTCTTAAATATTTAAAAATCTGTATCTCATTTTCTCGAGGTTTTTGTCAAATAGCCTATGCTTTTTGTGTCTTAGAAAAATCAGTTTTACAACATATCAACAAATTTTCCTCCAGAGCCTGGCTTTAATGAGTATGAGGAAATTGGAATCCTAGGTCAGACTAGTCCTGCCCTCTGTTCACTAGGCCTACACTCATTATTGAGTGTCGTCAAACATTGAAAATAAATTCTTGAAACCAACAAGAGATTATTTGTGAATTAGGCATCTGTGATGCCTGTAAATCTGATATAACAATTTTTCTTCAGTTTTTTTAAGCGGCAACATTTAGATGACATCATGGGATAAGGATGAGTGACAAATGATAGCAAACTAATTATCAATTGCATTTATTCTGCCATTAAGGGTTGTTACTCTAATAAATCACACACGTGGATTTCACACTAAACACATATTAAGCATTAAGTATCTGGATTGAATACAAGAAAGCAGTAGATTTATAAGGGTAAGCGCGTCTGTAAATTTAAGGGGGATGAATAGTGCGCGGTAAATTGATTGGGTGGAAGCTGTTCTATTTCGGGCTAAATAGGGATGGAAGGGAGTAAGCTGTTTGATTCTAAGGGGGTGGGGTGCGATTAACCATCAGGGGCGAGTAAATTATTGCGATACCAGGCAATGCCTCTAAGCCAAATGGGTGGTCTGTATAAAACCGAAGTGGATAAGAAGGCTGTAATTGAGTACAGTCGGTTTAAGGGTAAGCTGTCCTAAATTAGTGGATTAAATATTATTATTCAACAACAGAAGCAGAACACACAATCATGATTAGGACAAGGCTTAATCTCAATAGATTCAAAAACATATAACTCAGCATCACCATGTGTAAAATGCATTTGTTCAAGAAAATAATGTCTGAATTGATTTAATGTTTCTGAATTTAGACCTTTGCTCTTGTTGGTCTTTGGCACGTGGCTCTTTTGAAATGTATTTATTCATGTTATTAACTAACGTTTGTAATTTGTGGACATACGGCAGATCATCATTTTAAACTTTAATCTCTCCGAAATGCTTTTCTTTGACCTAAAATTATAATAATTAGGTCTATGTGTAATTATAAATTAACGTTCTCGGTATCACCTTTATTAACATCATTAGCATAAGAAAAGAACTCGTGGCGATTATGTTTCCCTACAAAGTGGCTTTCTCGCCAGTTATGACGTCATAACTATTAATTTCAAAACGCTTAACATGCTTAGTAAAAAATGATTACAATCCTTCAAGATTCAGTCGGTAGTTTGCTGTGATGCAATGCGTTTATAATTAACATGAGACTCATTATTTTATCAGAGATGTCTGATGAATAGAGCACTGACAGACAGGCATTCAATTCGTTTGACCAGGTACCGGTAATGATTTAAGCTGGGCATAGGCCTAGTCTACACTTGCACCTTATAATGAGCTTTTGTAAGTTTAATTCGAGCGCGCGAATTATATCATTTTAAATTAAAGAAGTGACCGCGAAATTTCTTTAGCCGATATGGAGGTATACATTGCGCATGTGTACACGACACTCGATGATGTTAAATATCAGTGCAATGTGTCCTGTATGTCTTCCGTTTGCAAATATATAACGGAAGTTATCAACACCAATTGGAAACTTGTACAAGACAGCCTAATCTATCTTCTGATTTATGGCACGTGAAACTATGCTATTCTATTAATTTTAAGTGAAGCTGGATGTTGTAAACCATTGGCATACACATTTTGATTCATCATATATACATTACATTATATATATAGGAATATATATAGGCCTATATATATATATATATACGTTAATGTATTTCGTTTAATTTATTTGGACTTGTTTCGTCACGATTTTTTCCTTTTGATGTTTTTCCTTGGATTTTTTGAATTTTTGTACTTGTCTTTCGTTGTCTTTTATTCAGACACGGCCTAGGCATTTGTGATGTTTTTCCTTTTGATGAATAAAGTGATTTTAAACAACCTGTTTTATGATAATGTTTTATGTCGGTGAAAGTTGATCACGCTTATAAATACACAAGCAAATACACAGATCCACATTAATCATTCAAATTTGTATTGTATATTATATCCTGTCGATCGTTTGAATCTATTATTCATGATTTGAGTTACCGTACTCGCGCGAATAAGCGCCCCGTTTCAATAAGTGCCCCTCTCGAATAAACGTGAAAATTTCTTTAAGCGCCCCGTTTGAATATTTGAATAATTTGAATATCATAAGATTTTCTTTTTTGCAAGTCAATAATCCAATCAATACAGGGACAGTGGTTGTTGGCATGATTTGAGCTGCAGAGTGGAAGACATTCTTCTTAGGTCAATATCAAAATGAGGATATTTCTCTTGGACAATGAGAGCTCCGATCCCTGGACAGACAGTATATTTCCAACTTTCCTCTTCTTACATATTTGTCTAGGCCTAGTCCTACTCCTCTTTCTTTTTCCGACAATTTGCACATTTTGCACATCATTCTCATCTGAGTTTTCAAGAAAACCTGCAATGATCCTGCCATCCTGCTAATCTCAATCGGTCGACGGCTAACAAGCTAACCACTATAGTCCACCACCACTAATTGCATCTGCTATTCTGCTGTTATGTAAATATTTACAGAATTCTTGTCATGAGCCATGTTCTCTGGACGATTATCTTTCCCGCCACACACCATTCGTAATGTCCTTATATTATTATTTTTTCATTCAAAAGGTGCCTCTTGAATTTAATAAATGCCCATAAGAACCCCTCGATTTTCACCTATTTCCATAAGCACCTCCTCAATTTCCACTCTGTTTTCATAAGCGCCCCGTTTAAATAAGATCCCCGTTTGAATAAGCGCCCAGAAAGAGCAAAAAAAAAAAACATTTTAAGCGCCCGGGCGCTTATTCGCGCGGGTACGGTTCAACAATGTTAGTGAAAACGAATGTAGAAGACTGGAAAAACATCTAAAAAAGTGCAGAAAATTAATTATTAGCTTTAAAATGTGTCATGAATAAATTGAAAATATACGATACTGCAAACAATAAGGCCATTTTATTAACGATTATTATCAGCCTATAAAACTCAGCTTCGAAATTTCACCCATAGAAAAATTATAAGCGTTATAGAAACAATGAATTATCACTTTACAATCTTCCTTTATGATCCTTATTACAAGTTCTATTGTAATCGTTTACTGCTGTTGATAATACTTATTCACATTATAATATATTTCCTATCATTCATAAAATTATTGCTGTTATCAACATGCATCTATTTTTTTTTAACATTCATATTATTACTATTATTCATATAGGCCTACACATTTGATCAATTTGTACTCTTATCTCAAAGTATTTTTTTAAAGCAAAAACTATCAAATTAGATCCTACTATTAGAAATGTTAAGTTATATAAACAATATAAATTATAGTAAGGCCTTATGTACATCTGACATATTGGAGCTTGTCAACCTGGTCACTTTTATACTATTATACTAATTACTGTAGTATCATCATTGAGCGACGATGCATCATAATCACGTATTAGCAGTAATATTTTGTGATTTACTTCCAATCAGCAAAGTAGAGGTTGTCTTGTAGGGAAACCTATTACGACTGTTATATACTTCCTCGACGAGGAGCAATACGGCTTTAGCTTGATTGATGTGAAGGAGACTTGACCTGCTGGGACCGCCGCTACCATTCAAAGAGAAACATCTTAACTCCAACAACCCTTGAATTTTTGAATTAAAATTTCAATTGCATATGTTTGTATTTTCAAACTTATATTGTTTTGAATGCTCAGACCAATACGGTGCCACACCGG